TTTTCTTTCATTCTTCATCATATTTTTCACTCTATTCAAACAGACCAAAATTATAACAGAAATTGAAGACAATAAATTTACATGTTTTCATAATTTAGGTAGCGAGCAGATTGATAGAAAAGAAAGAGAAACAATAATTCTATGGACACAGAATCACGGAACATAATGGTGAAGTGAACCTTTTCCGTGGCGTGTGTCTGATGTATATGACTATAGTATTCTGTAATCCATTTTGTAATTAGTTATGTGCATTGAAAAAAAGACAAGAAGGGCCTTAATCAAGACTAGTTCGGCGGCGAGACGGTACGCTTCTTTTGACTCTTTTTTCGACTCTCTCATTCCAGTCGGTTCCTCTATACCTCTATGTTGCCCCCACCGCCATAGCCATAGCAGCTTATTAGTGGTGGTGGTTGTTTTCTGCGAGCATTGGTAATGTCGCAGAAGCGGCAGCAAGAGGACTCCAAGGGTAGTTCGGAGGGCAATGGGTCCGGTGAAAAGCATCGCAAACATCCTTCTTTCAGAAGGTCTCTCTCTCTCTAATGTGCTCTCTGAATTCTATGGGGGAAAAAGGAATGAATCAAAATAGAATAAAATTAGTCCAATTTGGGGTTTAGGAAATCATTTCAAGAAGTGGGTGTACTGTTGATTTTAAGAGGTTTTGAATAGGTTGGCATTAAAAAATTTGTGGGTTTTGGTTGGAGAATTGTGTGTTTCAAAACTTGTTATGTTAATGCTAGACTATTGCTTAACATTATTATTATTATTTACCTTGTAAAAATGTGTGAGGTATTTTATGAGGTATTTTATTTCTTTGATTTCTAACCCTTTGTTTGATACATAAGCCACTGGTATGAGGATGACTAAGAATTTGTAAGAGATCCATTTTTTCCATTATAAGCAACTGATTGCTGATCAATATGAGTGTTCCATTTTTTCCCTTTCTGATATAATTAAATTCAATAATGTTTGAATTCGGGATGTTCGAATTTGGAGTTTGGTTCTTGTGTCTTGTTATGGGATGCAGAATTTGAAGATATGTTCTTCAAAGTTGAAGATGTTGTCGCTCTGGAACTTCTATTCTCGGAATGAGGTAGAGTCGCTGGAGATTTGTACTCCGAATCTCCATTCGATTAGTATTGTTTGTTTTGAGATGGGAAGGTATTCTTTCAAGCAGACCCTGACTTTGGTTCAAGGGACGAAGAGAGGCATTACAAGTACTGGAGTAAGGTTGTGAGGTCATTCGGTGGTGTCAAGCATTTTGTAGTGTAAAGTTGGTGGTTTAAAGTGAGTACCTTTGTCCCTCTTCTCTGAAATTTTACCTGGCACAGACATAAATACAAGTACAGTTTGATATGCATTACATTTGAGACTAACTTGATAACAAGAAAGGGGGAAATTTGGTTTTTTCTTAGAATAATAATTTGTGACTGTTACAACTCAAATGGTTTGAGGATGAGGTTTGGTAATTATTTGGCCTATTGCTTGTTTTCATCTTCGCTCATCTTTGACTATGGCAACCCCATAGACACAATGTGATAATATTATCAACCAAGGGATTTGTAACAAAGTATGCTTTTAACTTGATTTGCTCAATTCAGATGAAAGTGTCTTTTACAGGTGGAAAATTTTGAGAAAATGTTCAGTCTATTGCAAACTGGATGAATGAGTTCCAGTCGATGAAGCTTAATATTGTTAGAATTGGGTATAGTAGTGGGCACGATCCTTCATTATGCTAATACTAAACTCTGTAATTGGTTAATGTATATCAATGTTTTGAAGATCAATGGCATAAAATTTTCATTTACATGTTTTTAGGGTGGAACAAGAGGACAATTCTGTGAAGAAAGCACTTCAAAGCCATCTTCACCAAACCTCAAGAGCTCAGGCACTAGGAAAGAGGTAATTAAACACAGAATTTGCTATTACAATGACACGAAACCATCTTCACTAATCCTCAAAATGCACTTGAAAGTTTGGCCTTTGTAACTTGGCTTTTAGTTTCATGCAACATATATATTTTTTCTTCTCTAGCTTGTTCTTATCGTCTCTATTTTCTTACTACTCTCTCACAAACAATTCTTACCAAATAAAAAAAAATCATTAAAATAAAAATAAAACAAATTTCCCTACTTTTTCACTTACTCATCCGAAGGCCCGCCCAAACTTCCCCCTTTTTTTTTCCCTCTGCCTTTTCCCCCTTTTTTTTTTCATTTCCTTTCAGCTTGTAGAGCCCTTAATTTCACAACACTTTCAAAACAGTGAGCAAACCTATCTGAGAGAGAAAAGATAGAGGGTTTGAAGAGAGACTGGGGTTGAAGGGGAAGGGTTTCAATCGGCGGCGAGACTGGTTCAACAGCGGGAAGACTAGTTCGGCGGCGAGACGGTACGCTTCTTTTGACTCTTTTTTCGACTCTCTCATTCCAGTCGGTTCCTCTATACCTCTATGTTGCCCCCACCGCCATAGCCATAGCAGCTTATTAGTGGTGGTGGTTGTTTTCTGCGAGCATTGGTAATGTCGCAGAAGCGGCAGCAAGAGGACTCCAAGGGTAGTTCGGAGGGCAATGGGTCCGGTGAAAAGCATCGCAAACATCCTTCTTTCAGAAGGTCTCTCTCTCTCTCTAATGTGCTCTCTGAATTCTATGGGGGAAAAAGGAATGAATCAAAATAGAATAAAATTAGTCCAATTTGGGGTTTAGGAAATCATTTCAAGAAGTGGGTGTACTGTTGATTTTAAGAGGTTTTGAATAGGTTGGCATTAAAAAATTTGTGGGTTTTGGTTGGAGAATTGTGTGTTTCAAAACTTGTTATGTTAATGCTAGACTATTGCTTAACATTATTATTATTATTTACCTTGTAAAAATGTGTGAGGTATTTTATGAGGTATTTTATTTCTTTGATTTCTAACCCTTTGTTTGATACATAAGCCACTGGTATGAGGATGACTAAGAATTTGTAAGAGATCCATTTTTTCCATTATAAGCAACTGATTGCTGATCAATATGAGTGTTCCATTTTTTCCCTTTCTGATATAATTAAATTCAATAATGTTTGAATTCGGGATGTTCGAATTTGGAGTTTGGTTCTTGTGTCTTGTTATGGGATGCAGAATTTGAAGATATGTTCTTCAAAGTTGAAGATGTTGTCGCTCTGGAACTTCTATTCTCGGAATGAGGTAGAGTCGCTGGAGATTTGTACTCCGAATCTCCATTCGATTAGTATTGTTTGTTTTGAGATGGGAAGGTATTCTTTCAAGCAGACCCTGACTTTGGTTCAAGGGACGAAGAGAGGAATTACAAGTACTGGAGTAAGGTTGTGAGGTCATTCGGTGGTGTCAAGCATTTTGTAGTGTAAAGTTGGTGGTTTAAAGTGAGTACCTTTGTCCCTCTTCTCTGAAATTTTACCTGGCACAGACATAAATACAAGTACAGTTTGATATGCATTACATTTGAGACTAACTTGATAACAAGAAAGGGGGAAATTTGGTTTTTTCTTAGAATAATAATTTGTGACTGTTACAACTCAAATGGTTTGAGGATGAGGTTTGGTAATTATTTGGCCTATTGCTTGTTTTCATCTTCGCTCATCTTTGACTATGGCAACCCCATAGACACAATGTGATAATATTATCAACCAAGGGATTTGTAACAAAGTATGCTTTTAACTTGATTTGCTCAATTCATATGAAAGTGTCTTTTACAGGTGGAAAATTTTGAGAAAATGTTCAGTCTATTGCAAACTGGATGAATGAGTTCCAGTCGATGAAGCTTAATATTGTTAGAATTGGGTATAGTAGTGGGCACGATCCTTCATTATGCTAATACTAAACTCTGTAATTGGTTAATGGATATTTTTTATGATGCAGGCGTTACTGGACTAGTTTAGTTTGTGTGAACTGCATTGGTTTGTCCTGTTGTTCTTACTGGAAAAGAGTGAGATCAGCATGTTGTTTCAAGTGTGAGATTGTTTTTAGTCTGCATTAAAATCTTTGTAAAATGTAACCTTTGTTTTTTTGTTGCAACTTGCAAGCCCCCATAGGGAGTCTCTTACTGGTCATTATTTGGTCAGTTACTTTCTTTTGTCATGTTGGAGTCACATTGAAATCCATTAAAGATAGGATACCTGCTACTGAAAAAAACAAAATCGTTAATTTAAACTTGAACAGCTTGACAGATAAGTATTTATTACTAATATTTGGGAATGGCACCTCAAAGAGGTAGTTTGTATTTTTCTCTTCCTTTGTTGCTCATTCTGTCTTACAAAAGTCAAATTTATATTTCACATTGAAAGTAAAAATAGATACTTTGAAATGCTATCCATATGGTACTTCACTGAAGTTTCTAATCATTTCAGCTTCCATGAAATGTTATCCATACTCCTGTGTTTTTTTTTTAAAAAAAAATATTTATTATTATTATTTTTTTGGAGTTGTTTCTTTTGATTTGTGTTGACTGTGAGACAAGTATGTCTTAGAGAATGACTTGCAAGTAAGAACTTTTCTTATCGAACATGGGTTCGAAAAAGGGTTACAAGGTGTCAAAAAAGCATGTCTTACACACCACTATACCTGGTATGTATTACTATTGTCCCCATGTCATTTAGTAATCTATTTGACGACAATAAGGAAATTTCTTAATGTGCTGAATCAGGATGTGTTGATTGCAATTGAATGGAAAATATATTCTTATGGGAAAGGTTTTTAAAACCGCGGATCGTCTTTGCGGTGTCCTTGGATGAGATGTTTGGTGGAGAGATATATGTTTCCATGGTGTTTCCTCCTTTTTTTGCTGTTGTTATCTAAAAAAATATGATATAGCCTTCTGAAATTTGTAAGTGGTTTTGTTTCTTCAATTTAATTTTTCGTTTAAACTTGATCTGGGCTCACTGATTGATGTTTAAGGCCATTTAAATTTGAAATTATCATTGCGTTCATTAGAGACATTACAAATTGATCCCATCAAACGTGTTGTTGGGGGTTAAAAATCTTCCTTGCTTGTTCCTAGGTCTTTTATTTCATTTTTTTTAATTGTCATCTTATTTAAAGGTTGTATATTTGAAGTGCATTTGAAGTGATGCAATTTTCTCTTTTCCTATTCCCTTTCTACTAATTGTAATAGAAAAAAAGAAAAAAGAAAAAAGAAAAAAAGATAGTGCTTTGTATATCAATGTTTTGAAGATCAATGGCATAAAATTTTCATTTACGTGTTTTCAGGGTGGAACAAGAGGACAATTCTGTGAAGAAAGCACTTCAAAGTCATCTTCACCAAACCTCAAGAGCTCAGGCACTAGGAAAGAGGTAATTAAACACAGAATTTGCTATTACAATGACACGAGACCATCTTCACTAAACCTCAAAATGCACTTGAAAGTTTGGCCTTTGTAACTTGTCTTTTAGTTTCCTACAACACATATATTTTTTCTTCTCTAGCTTGTTCTTATCATCTCAATTTTCTTACTACTTTCTCACAAACAATTCATCTTAACCAAATGCACGTGTGAAACTAAATTTTCTTTCATTCTTCATCATATTTTTCACTCTATTCAAACAGACCGTAAACAAATTATTGAAATCAGACAATAAATTTTCATGTTTTCATAATTTAGGTAGCAAGCAGATTAATAGAAAAGAAAGAGGAACAATAAGTCTATGGACACAGAATCATGGAACATAATGGTGAAGTGAACCATTTCTGTGGCGTGTGTCTGATGTTTATGACTATAGTATTCTGTAATCCATTTTGTAATTAGTTATGTGCGTTGAAAAAAAAGACAAGAAGGGCCTTAATCAAGAACTTGTTTTAACATTGTGATAATATAATATGTAAAAAATAGTTAGACAAAATGGATAAAGTCCGATTCAATTGCAGGTTATAAATTGTCTCACATTTATGAATTGTCTCATATTTTATTTATCAGCAGGTTATAATTGACCAAAGCCATTGATTACCCTTTTTCTTGGTATCTCATTGTTGAATGCTCTAGGAATCTGAATATACTAATTAATCTTGCCATGTGATGACTTCAAATTTTTGTGCCCATTTTTTCACCAAAAGAATATTGAATTTATGTATTAAAAATTTGTTTGATTTGAATTCTTGTGATCTTACGATCCCTAGGTCTTCAGAGCCCATCAACTCTATATAGATGTTTGAATCATTAGGCAAGTTTTAGATAAATTGATATAAGTAATTGAAGCATTAAATTGAAGGGTTATCTTTCCCAAGTGATTGATACCTCAAATTTTATTGCAGACCACAAAAGTAAAAATGGTTAAATATATTGTCTGTCCTTAAAATATGCCTTATGTTTCATTTTGGTTTATAATATTTCAATTATGTCAATTTAATTGATCTAAATGGTTCCAACTCTGTTTCTATCCAAATTTTATCTAAATTTCAACCAAAGTACCTCTTTTCGGTTATAAAATTTGAAAGAAAGGAGGTGTTTGGAACATTTAAACACAAATTAGATAAGTTGTGGTCTAAATTCTTTATTTAGCCGAAGTCAAAAAAGGTAAATGATGTCTTTCATTACATTTTTTTTTTGTGTGTTGAATTCTTTAACTTCTCATAAATTAAATCTGTTCTTCTTATATATACTCTAGTTCTTTTCTGGTTTGTGAGATTGTATGTTGGAAACTTGGAATATACGTTTGAATTTACCATGATTGATTAACTTATATATAATATTTTTTTGTTCCTCTAGCATGATGAACTTGAATCAGCAAAAGCTGAGATGATAGAAGTGAGACAAGAAAATGCAAGATTAAAGATGATGTTAGAGCAAATAGAGAAGGATTAGCATGATGAACTTTTGTTTTTGTTATTTACGAAGAATGATGAGAAAAATATTTAATTTTGATTTATGTTATTTTGAATTATGAACAAAATCATGTATTTAAACATTATATATGATTATGGAACATTATGTAGTGGAATAGTTTTGTTGATGTGTAATTATGAATGGAAGAGTATTTTATTATGGAGAAATTGTTATTTTTATATAGGAATTTTTATATTATTATGGAGAAATTTTAATATTTTTAATAATTTTATCAGAGATTTTTTTA